AAATAAACAAAGAAGAAAATCAAACGCAAATGAACAAGAAAAAGAAAAGGGACTTCTCATCTTCTTTGCAAGATAACGATGGAGGGAAAAACAACATTTCCAGCAAAATCACAAAAGCATAGTGAAGAATGTATAAAAACCGCAGAGAAAATAGAACCGGAGTCGTCATGGTTTCGAATGAAGAGATGATAAAATGGACAAAACTGATGGCAAGGAACAGGGAGGCGTTAACACTCAGAGCAGTTTAAGGTTGAAGAAAATGGTGAAACATTTTACCGAAAGTATTGAAGGAAAGTGGTTGACCGGAAAACAAAATACTTTGACTATTTTGTTTTACCCAAACCAAACACCGTAAAATATAAAGAAATGTGATATCAGTTTTGTTATTATTTTTTTAATAAAATCGGTAAAATGATTTAAAACATTAATTTTTTTAACATTTCTGATAAAGTACCCAATAATAACAAAATCAGTAAAAAAATAATGTTTTAGGTGGCGCTTTTCTGGATATGTTAACAAAACCGGTAAAACGTCCAATAATAATAACAAAACCAATAGCGATTTTCCTTAGCCATATATTAAGCTTGCCGCAGCGAGACTTTCCTATAAAATAGGGAAAGTAAACTTTTGAAGTTTATTTTCCTGCTATCAAACACAACTTTAATGAATTTGGTGTGGTTAAAAAATAATTGGATCTTAATTTTTAATGGTTTTGAACTTAAAATATTAATTTAATATATATAATATATTTAATATTTTGGTTAATTTGGTTAATTCAATTAAATAATCGATTTCGAACTAAATTAATCGTTAACAAATATTGAAAAAAATTAAATGTTCCCTGATCGAACTAATTCGGTGGTCGACTGAATTAACCGAACTAATTCAGTTCAGTCGGTTAATTCGATTTAAACCAAATAGTGAACACCCTAAACTTATGCATTTAATATCTAAATTATCAGCTTTGGTCTGTTTTAGTAGTTAAAGTTTCAATTTTTTAAAATCATACCTAAAATTTAATTTTTTGTTTCATTTTAGTATCACGCTCAAAAAGAATATTTTTGAACACCCTTAATCTCAATGATTAAAAAGAATATTGTTTTTTCTTACTATTATGAGTTTGAGCAATCATATCTACAAAACATTATTAATAATTAAAGAATTATAAACCTACAATATTTTATAATCATTTGTACTGATAAACCCAAGTTTAGAAGGAAAACAGTAAAACCCCCAAATTCAATTTAGTTAATTTTTTCAAGATACAAATATTTAATAAAGTTAAAGTTTAATATTTCCTATCGTTTTCATACCTAAAATTAATAAATATAATAAAAGTATGGTAACGACTATCTACCTCCAAAGTAGTCTAAAAAAAAGGACACAAATTACAATTAAACTCATCACAATATATTGTTCTTCAAGTTAGGCAGATAAACAACTGAAAACTACGGTTTCACTAATCCCACCGGAGACCAAGAACTCGCCACCGTCTAATCGAAATGGTGACTGCAGCTCCGTCTTCTTCTTCTCCTCTATCTCCATTCTCCTGCTGACCTCCATGTTGGATGACCGTTTCGCCGCTTTTTTCTCGATTCTTCGTCGAATAACATACTCTTCGGGAATAAACACGTCCATTTGCGATAGCTTATCAATTCCCGGAAAATATGAAACGAAAACGTGGAGCTTGAAGGTGACGAAAGAAAGAAACTTTGGTGGAGGGGTATGAAAAATGCTGGTAAAAATTTTGGAGTGCTGTGTATTTATAGGAGAGGAGATTGAGGGGAAACCAGGGGCGTTGATCCCATGTTTTTGGTATAAACAAGCTACTTTGAGTTTCCTGGTTTTAAGGTGGTTTTCAGAAAGCCATTGACTCTACACCAGACACAGATGCAAAAGAAGAATGCTGTTGGGACAACAAGGGCACGTGTTGAACCCCAAGTATTTTTATCAATGTTTTTCGTCATTGATCGTTATAATACTTACGTGACAATTTACTTGTAACACCCCTAACTCGTACCCGACATGAATATGAATCCGATGTGTCACATTGACTTTTTAAAATATTGATTCATAACAAATAAAGAAAATTTTAACTTTTATTCATATTAACAAGTTAAAACTCTATAATTTAAAATTTAATATAAACTCACATTCATACTTAATAAAAATCTTTAATAATTTACATAAATACAAAAAAGATGAGTTTACAAAAATAGATCTGAGCATTTCAAATTAAACGTGTAATACATGCCAACAGTATACAAATTTACAGGAAACCTACTTTTAATTTATCTTGATCTGATCTTCAAGGGAATATGTTATCCTCAACAAACTTAAACCTTCAGATTTCTTCAAACCTACGCGTGAGAAAAGCACACGCTAAATCGATGACTTAATGAGGCAAATAGGAGATAACACTAAACTTTATAAACAAAATCTTTATCTATTTGATAAAACATTTCATAAAGGTTTCCAAATTGTTTTCCATAACAAGGATATATACTTTTATACATTATTCGTTTTATATAACTTTGTTTTTAAATGCCCAACATATACTACTGAGAACTCTAAGTATTTGAGTACATTGAGATTGTGCACTAATGATATCACCACAGCTCGTATAAATTGCACCGAAGTGCCACATAATTGTCCCGAAGGACCACATAGGTTTGTTCCGAAGGACCACATAATTTTGTCCCGAAGGACCACATAGAACCCTCGACTCTTGGCATGCCAACTATACCTCTAATCCTCATACATATACCTTGGGCTTTTAACCACATAATTATTTGTCATTCATTATTCGAAGTATCTCTTATTCACATAGGCACTTTCACATTGAGAATTTTCATATACACATTTCATAATCATGCACACACAACTTAAATAATATAACTTGAATAAAACATTGTAGAAATATAAAAATAAAGAAATTGAAAGGTTTTTGATCTAAAACACTGAGGTTGGCTTATCGCAAGCTACCCTCAATTCTAATACAAAACAATTGAGTTGCACTTACCTTTGCCTCACTGAAGTCCTAAACGAATCCTTAACACTTTTGATCAATAACTTATAACGTCGAGTTGACCAGAATTTGACTTTGATCAACGTCTACACAAGAATAATCGAAAATAAATATCGGAATTCGAATCACTTATAACCAATCATATTAACTTAAGCTAAAAGATATACTTAAATTATCATTTCATGCTTAATAGTATCGATACTTCCACTAAAGTATCGATACTTCCCTTCTATGGTATCGATACCCCCTTCGGTACCGATATCATTTCGACATACTGGAATTTCAACTTGAAAATGGTACCAATACCTTACTCTTGGTATCGATACAATTCCGATACCCTTGCCAAGAATTTACCATTTCCATTTCGAATTTTAACCAAAACTTAACTAATCTCCTACTTTTACCTCCCTTATATTTTTAAAACTCAACTTCATTCAACAAAACCAACTTGTCTCTATTTACTACTCCTAAACACACAAAATCTCACTAAAACTCTTACATCTCAAAATCATACCATAATTTCAAACAAGTTCTTAATCATTTCTAATCCTCCTAACTCTTTAGTTATATCATTGACAAGTCAAATTTATCAATAAGACTCCAAAAACTACAATATATCAATAATTCATTTCAAAACCCATTTTACAAATTCATTTCTAATTCACTCTTTTTGTTGTTTTAATCCTTTAAAATCTTTTCTTAAGCTTATATAACCTTTAAGCTTTCAACGTCAACCCACAAATTGCAGAAACCAACAACTTACATAACTTACCTTTAAAGTGGAGCTCACGGGCACGAGGAAGAAGACAAGAAATGGTTTTTAGATTTTTCTCCCATAATCCACGTGCTTATTCCTTAAAAACAAGAGATAAAAAATATTTCTTGGAAAAAAGACCATACTACCCCTCCTATAAACAAATTATTAATATTAAGTCCTAACTAAAATTTCACAATAAATCCTTGATTTTTTTCAAACTATTCTAATTAAACCACTTAATTTTAAATTCTTACATTTTGGTCATTGACCCGATGATTGAGATTTTACAATCTCCCCATACTCTTGCTGTCGTACCTTTGCCATACCTTATTTACAAACCTAAAATTACTTGTATCTATGCTATTTTTTGCGCGCTTGATTTTAGTTTTGATGATGAAGTTTGAGTTGAACTAAAATGGTATTTATGATATATGTATAGATATGTTTTTTATGTTTTAGAAAATTAAGTGACTTTTTGGGTATGTTTGTTTCACTGTAAATATTATTCTGGAAAATGAATTGTATTTCTGGACAACATTTTCCATTGTTTGGGTGTTGCAGTGTAAAATATTTTTCGTTGTTTGGCTAATTTTTCTAAAAATAAATTTCGGAATCTGTTTTCTTATTTTATAAAAAATATATTTTACAACATTTTTAATATGAAATGCAATTTTATATTTCTTTAAGTATGTCAAATTAAATGATTCACTAAGAAGTCGTGGCACATGATAATTACATCAGTATGGCTATCTTCCTTGTTTTATGCCAGGCAAGAACTTGAAATGCCGTGGCCAGCTTTACCACAATAGTCTCTTTAAAAAAGCAATTCGTTTCTTACGGTTCAAGAAAACATAAAAATATCGGAGAAAATCGCAATCAATGTCTTCGAAAAAGAATGAATTAGAGTTAATTTACATTTTGGCACCTAAATATATCCTCAAAGTTTAGTTTGGTACCAAAATTAATTTTTCAATTAGGTACGCAAATTTGGTTTTTACCCAAATTAGTACATAAATTTGACTATTATTGGTTTAAGTCAGCATTTGATCTGATTTTTTTTGTTTAAATTAGTTAAATATAGCATTTATTAATTTGAACCAAAAAACTAAATTTAGGTACTATTTTAAACCAAAAAATTAGTTTGAGTACCTTAAAAACAAAGGAAATTACTATCTTCTTCCCCAAACAAACTTGATGAAAATGGCCTCTTGCTTCATGACTGCTCCAAACTAAGTTTTCCACAACAAATTCTCCTTTTTCTTTCTCTCTACTATAAACTGAAATTATAACCTGCAAAAGAGGCTAAATTAAGGGACGGAAACCCTAATTTCACAATGGCGAGACCTAATCAAGAAGCAATCGAGACTTTCATCAGCATCACTGGGGCATCCGAAGCTGTTGCCATTTCGGAACTTGAGGTAGTTTTTTGTTAACTTTTTAATTAGAAAATATTAAGTTCGTTTTGCTTACATTTTTTTTTCTTTTACTTGATATCAAATTGGCTTCTGATTATAGGTTAATAAATGATCGGCTGATTTTTCTTTTTCTCTTTTTTAGTTTTTATTGCCTTAACATGTCGATTTATTTATCTGATCATCGCTTCATTCGTTTATTGAAGATAACTGAATTTTTATTGGATGTAATTGAATTAGGGCTTTAGCCAGTGACTGTAACCAAAGGGTTACTTTAAGGTTCGAATGAAATAAGTTGAAAATTTTCGTTCTTTTTCTTTCAATTAGTTGTTCTATTTGGATGGATGGCTGGACACTAGAAAAGGGGAAAGGCTGAAGTTGTAAATGATTTTGATTTAGAGTTGTATTCTTTTTCATGGCTTCAAAAAAATGTATGCAATGTTGATTGATGATAATGGCCAAGTTGTTTGAACCTCCATTCCTTAGTCATGCTCTTATAAACACAGGCAGCTATAGGTCTGATTGAAAGTGGTTAGAGATTTAGAAGTTTTGAAGCTCATCTGCGTCTTTGGTACACTTTTTGCATCTGAACTCCTGAGTGACCCGATGGTTGAATTGAGGTTTAATTCTGACTGCAGATTCTTAGGTTTTCATTTTGTTGTTTGTGAAGCAATCATCATAGGTTTTCTGAAGACAATTGCTTGAGATTGTTGGAAAATGCTGCTTGTTATCAAATTAACTTCTTGTTGAGTTGCAAAATCTTAGAGTTAGTTTGCATTATTTGCATCTTATCATAAAGTCAAATCATCTATAAGTCTATAACATCTCTTGGTCATCTACTCATTTTTTTTAATTGAAATCAGGAGTATGCTGGCAATCTCAATACAGCTGTAAATGAACATTTCAGCGAAGGAGATAGGTATAAGTCTTTTTTTATGATGTGTAATTATAGGTTTATAGCAATTTTTTTTATATATTTATATTCTTATGTTTCCTGCAAAAGGCCAACATCAACCACAGTTCATGTAGATGACGCCATGGATATAGATAATCAAGTTGAAGTTGTACCAAATGATCCATTGGTTACACATCCAAGGGAGGTGAGAGAGGCACTGATAGAGGTTAAAAATAGCAATGAGCTATCTGGTCCTTCTAGTAATGCTCCTGCCAGTGAGGATGTCTCACAAACCGTACAAGCTCATGGCCCTAATTCCCATGAGACTGTTATAATTAATGAAGTGGTTGAGGATTCAACTGTGCAGCCATTGAGGCCTAGTGCTCCTGCTTTTGACAATTTGCCAGACTATGGCAATGACATTGAAGAACAAATGATTCGAGCTGCCATTGAGGCCTCCAAACAGGATGTCGAGGTGAGTTTTTTTATTTAAAAAGAGAATGCTTCCAGTTTGATACTGTTGTGGTTCTCTTCGGGCTCGTACTTGCTTTAAATGCTTGTTTACGGGTTGCCTTTTCATGTTTGTGCAGGAGTCCAGTGATCCTGGGCCTTGGCATAATATGTCTCATTCAGAGGATGCTATACTTGAAGCAGCAGTTTCAAATTCCTTGAAGGTTTGTTGTACTGTACTTCATTCAGGTCACAGATTGCTACAAGAATCTATTTGTTTTGTCTAACATGTAAAAATTCAGACAGCAGAGCAAGAGAAGGCATTGCTTGAGCAGGGTTCCTCAGCTGGAGCATCAGAAGTAGAAGCTTCTAAACCAGCTGAGCAGCATCTTGTAAACATGACAGCCTCAAGTGGGAGGTACAGTCGTTGTCACTTGTTAAATGATAGGCATTGTTTTATTGTTACGAACCTGTAAGTTTGTATGCCTTAATTCTATATCTGGCTGAATTAATTGATGCAGGTTAATGGAAGGAAGCTTTTCCATTCAAGATGAAGCTGAAAATAGGATTGAGCAGCGTCTAGTTAGGCACGGGTCTAGACAAATATCATCTGGCTCAGGGGAATCTGCAAACGAAGTTGGAGTTGAGGCCAGCCCCCCATCAAGTCCTGGACAACAAGGCATTGGGAGTCTCCCTTTGAGCAGTGGAAATGCGTTCCCTTCTGATGAGGTTTACTCCTTGTATAATATTGCGGAAGCCAAATGAGAATTTATATATATGTTTTATTCCATTTACTTGCCCAAGACTTTCTCTTCTAACTAATGCCTTTCACCTATGTCCTTTATTAAATTAAATTTTGGCTTTTATTCTGTACCGTGTCATAGTGGGGAGGTATCTCTTCCGTGGAACATGATGAGGCAGTCATGCTTGAGGCTGCAATGTTTGGTGGAATACCTGAAAATGGATATCGTTTTCCCTATGCACCTCACCAGTTCATTCGACCCGAGGGCTCCAATCCCTGGCATACCCCTCGTCCTCCATCACCCACTTTGGCTTCTCAACGCCTGATACGGGAACAGCAAGTTAGTTTTTCTTTTTCTCCTTTTTATATGTGCTCTAACTGGAAGTTATATATTTCTAATTTTGGGCCAGAAGTATGGTCTAATAGTTGCCTACATACATGGTGCTTTCAGGATGATGAGTATAATGCAGCATTGCAAGCTGATAGAGAAAAGGAGTTGAAGGCAATTCAAGAAGCTGAGGCTTGCCGTTTAGAGGAGGAAGCCGCTAGAAAAGCTGCCCTTGAAGAAGAACAAAGAAAACAGGTACCTAATTATGATCCAATCATCAGTAAATTGGGTTGAGCTTCTAACAATAAGCTTATTCTCTATATGTTTGATTTTATATTTTTTTAGGGGCGATTAAGATTTTACCAGTAAACTTGTATTGGAAATAAAACAAGCTTGTAAATGAACAAATTGTTGTCAATATTTTTCTTTTCAAGTCATCCCATGGATATCTTTACAGAAGATATACAAATTGCACTCTATTTTTCAGATAATTTAGGGCTTTCTCTACTAGAAAAAAAATAATTCATCTGTTTGTTGATTTTCTTTGCAATCAACGTTAGATCATGCTAACATCCTGCATTTAGGCTTTGATTGAATAGTACTTACTACTGATGTTCAGTTTTGTTGGTCCTGAATTGCATTATTTGTGATTCTTACTTGCAGGAATGTGAGAGGCAATTAGCTGCTAAAGAAGCTTCTTTGCCACGGGAGCCATCATCCAATGAGGAAAATGCTGTAAATCTTCTAGTGCGAATGCCTGATGGCAGTCGTAGGGGCCGTTTATTTCTTAAGTCTGACAGGCTGCAGGTAAATTTCTGAATAAAAGTTCCCTTCTGCCACCTTTCCTTGTGCAGTAGGCTTAAGACTTGACCTGATTTTGTACTGCTTTGCAGTCTCTGTATGACTTCATAGATATTGGAAGAGGAGTCAAGCCTGGCACTTATCGACTGGTAAAATTTAATCCCAAGCTTTTTACCAAGTTCCATATTGTTCTTGGCTTCATGTCAATCTAGATACATGCATGGTTTGTTTTCACTATTTGAGGACAATATTCACCTATGTTGCTCCTACTCTTTTTCTTCTTTTCTGAAAACCCTTTTCATACAAGGATATGAACTTATTCGTTCCATGCCGCGTTTCATAGGGAACCTCAAAGTGGCTCTATTTGATTATATCGACCGAATTGATTATCTTCATGCATAAGGAATTTAGATTCCCTGGTATAAAAGATTTTAAAATCATCATTAACCTCCCTATTTTTCATTTCTATTTTTGGATTATTATGATGATTTTCGAACTTTCCATTTGGTCTTATATCTGCCCTCACACCTGAGTCCGAGACTGCGATACATAGATATTGACTTCTAGCCTTCTTGCAAGGAATATTTCCCATATTATTTTAACCCATTTCAACAGGTGAGACCGTACCCGAGACGTGCTTTCGGCGAAGAGGAGAGCAGTTTGACACTGAATGAACTCGGCTTAACAAACAAACAAGAAGCCCTATTTCTGGAGTTGATCTAATAACATCTTTAACTATTTATATGAATCTTATAGAAAAACAACTAGGCAGGTTTAGTTTCATTGAAATTATGGAGATTTCTTAAGGGTTTCTGTTTGGTTATAGGACATAGATTATCCAAGTAACAGGGTCGAATTTGTCACGAAGCAAATTAGTCGTATGCCATTCGAATTCCAATATTTAATTACATCAATCTTGTCTTCTTTGATACCATCATAGCTTGTTTTACTCTACTGAGAAATAACAAGGAATGAAACAAATCTGTTTTCCTTTTGATGCTATGCATATGTTTGGTTTTATCAGCCATCAAATTCAAACCTTTAAACATGGTATTTTTAATTTAGGGTAAATTCAATTGATTGTCACTAAACTTTTAGGATGTTTTCATTTTAGTCATCAAATTTGCATAAACTTGAATTACAAACACTAAACTTTGTTTTCATTATGTTAATTGTCGTCAACTTTTAAGAGATGATGCGGCCCGTTAAAGTCTTTTTTGTTTAAAGATCTTAATGTTTCAAATCGGAGATCATTTAATGATGAAATTTTCTATGAATGAATTAGTCGTTAGTTAATCTCAATAATGAGAAAGTTTTGTTTGGTAAAAAAATTAATATAATTCGGTTTCAAGTTAATTTGATATTTGATAGAGACTAATCTAAAAAAACTAATTTTGACTGAAATGTAAAGAGATTTGGTGTTTTTGTTAAAAATTTGAATTACAGGAAAAAATATAATAAGAAGATGAATAGTTTAATGATTTTTTTATTCAAAAATATTAAACAGCGACAAAAATGAAATCAAAAGAAAGAACGATGGCTCTGTTTTTTTTAGATTATTTTAAAGTGCAACGTTAGTTATCGTTAATGATTTAGTGATTGAAATAAAAGAAATCTTAACAGAAATATTCCAACGATTTTTTTTATGTTGATGACCTAAGTTAAAGTGTTATAGAAGTTCAATGACTAGTGATATAGTTTACTCTTTTATTTATTTCCAAGATACAAACGATTAATGCTTTGAGACGATAATTTTACAAATTTTGGTCCACTAAAACATGTTGGTGAAATTGTTGTATTTTCATGTCATCTCTTTAGTAATCAGCTTAGTATCATCCTCGTACCCACTATCATGCGCCCTTGTCTTATCATTTGATTAATGACTTCATATTAATATTGTCGTAACCGTCTTTCGGGTGGACCCCGAATTTAGGCTTCGACTTGGATTAAACGAATTGGAGTCGCCACCGATCATTTATTTTAAAATAAATGGGTTGATCGGATATCCTATTTCTTACCTGATCTGCGTCTTTCCAAAGATGTGTCGGATTCGGGAGTCGATTACAGTCAAGGAAGGATTAACACCCATGAACAGCCCTTTCGGTACTACGCAATTTCCAGTTGTCTTAAATTAAGAAAATTGTAATTTAAAATTAAAAGGTAAAAATACGATCCCAATTACTTACCTTAGATAGTTTTAAAGCTGTACCCTTAAGAGAGCCAAGAAACTTGTTAGATAAAAAGGTAAGAAATAAATAAATAAAATTAAAATGAAGAAAAAATAAATTAAATAAAAGATAAGATAAAGAAAGTAAAGATAAAATAGTAAGTAAAATAAATAAATAAATATTAAAAAATATTAAAAAATAAGAAAAAGAAGAAAAAATAAATAAATAAAACAAATAAATAAAATAATAATAAAAAAGTAAAAATAATATATATATATATATAATAAATAAATAAATACATAAAAAATAGTAAATATATATATAAATTAAAAAACATATAATAAAAAATAACATATATATATATATGTAATCTAAAAAAAATAAAAATATATATTAAAGTAAAAAAGAAAATACATAAAATGTAAAAAAAAATTACATGAAAAAAAGAAAAATAACAAAACAATTAAATAAAATGAGCAATAAGAGAAATGTGCGTATAAATAAAGTTAAATAAATAAAATAATAATAATAATTAAAACGTAAATGTAGGGGATTGAATCAAAAGGAAAAAAAAATCGATAGGCAAATTTCGAAGTAAAAAAAAGATTTTGGGGGGAGAATTAAATATTTTAAAACATGAACACGCCTCGGGAGTAGATCTAGGTTCGAAACTTCGAAACTCCACCCCTTTTTGGTCATCGACGCAACCCGTGTTTTGGGTTATTCGAACCAAATCTCAAGAAAAATAACAAGCACATGCGAGAAATGAACGAATCAAGGTAAAAAAGATGCTACCTTTTATTTCTTTTTCGAATCGTTTACAATAGCTTTGCCTTCGTATTTTTTTGTGCTTTCCTCTGTATTTTATATGTAAATCGTGTGTTACAATAGTGAGTTACAATGGCTATTTATAATGCTTCTAGATCCTATTTTTAGGAGTTTGAATCATAGTAGAACTCTATCCTATTTTTAGGAGTTTGAATCCTAGTAAAACTCTATCATATTTTTAGGAGTTTGAATCCTAGTAAAACTCTAACGCTATGTTTGTTTTCTGAATCTCACTAAATCAGGGTTGTTGAGAGTGTTGTACCTAGACGAAAAAGTATGTTAGCAGCTGCCCCTTTTTGCCCATAGTCGTGTAACGAGGATAGGGCAAAGATTAAAAGACACACTTTTCGTTTGGTGGAGTTGAAAACTAACTCAGATGTTTCAATAACTCCCTGTCGAATTGAGTTGCAGATGAAGTCGAGTTCATGATATGGAATTGAAGTCGTAGTTCGGAATTTGAATCAGCACATGGCTTCTCGTTACCCTTTGGTCTTCTTCTTGGATCGGAATCGAACTTAGAAATCTTCGTTGACAGATAGTTTTTCTTGACTTAAGCTATGTTGTTTGAAAATGGTTGCTTGTCACTAAGGCACGGCTAACCTAGGTCTTCTTCTCGACTTGAAAACTTCGACTGAAACCGAAAAGTAGTGTGATTGATTTGTCATCGAGCTGAATGGAATCGAACTCGACAATTTTGTTGGCAGATAGCCCTTCTTGCCTTGAGCTATGCTGTAAATTTGATTTGCCTCTGAGTTGAATGTAATCGAACTCGAAGGTCTTTGATGACTGATAACCCTTCTTGCCTTAAGTTATGCTGCAAATGATGTGCCTTGGAGCTGAGCGTAGTCGAACTCGAAGGTCTTTGTTGACATATAACCCTTCTAGCCTTGAGTTATGCTACAAATGATGTGCCCTTGAAGCTGAGTGTAATCGAACTCGAAGGCTTTGTGTTTCAAGAGAAACATTTTCAAAGTTTTTTTTCAAGAGAAACAATTTCGAGGGTTTTTTTTGTGTTTCAAGAGAAACTGTCTCAATAGGGACAAAATTTGTTTCAAAAGAAACTATCTCAAGAGAGACAAAACTTAGTTCTAAAAGAAACTGTCTCAAGGGAGACGAAATTTGTTTCAAGGAAAAGATATTCAAAGATTTTGTTTCGAGGGAAACTGTCTCAAGAGAGACAATGGTGAGCACAATTCCCTTCGTCGTGAAGTTGAAACCGTGGATGGCCACTTCGTTGTGAAGTTGAGCCTTGGAATTGGATATCCTTCGTCGTGAAGTTAAAATCTAGTATGCTGTTTCGAGGCCAATATCCTTCGTTGTGAAGTTGAAATTGACTTCGAAACTGGAAAGTTTGTTGACAGACACTCCTTCTCTGAGTTGGATATCCTCCACAGTGAAGTTGAAATCCAATCTGGAGATGGATGCTGCTTGTGTGTACGATTCCCTTCGTCGTGAAGTTGAAACCGTGAGTTGCCCCTTCGCCGTGAAGTTGAGCCAAGAATTGGATATCCTTCATCGTGAAGTTGAAATCCAAGTAAGTTGTACTGTTCTGAGTCCAATATTCTCCGCCGTGAAGTTGAAATTGGCTCTGGAACTGGGAAATTGTTTGTTGACAACCAGCCGTCCCTTCGCTGTGAACTTGAACTTGTGTTGTCTCGAGTCCAATATCCTTCGCTGTGAAGTTGAAATTGGCTCTGAAACTGGGAAGCCCCTTCATCGTGAAGTTGAGCCTCAAAATGGAATGACATCCTCCGTCGTGGAGTTGAAATCGTGGATGTGTGGGTACGATATCCTCCGTCATGGAGTTGAAATCGTGGATGGCCCCTTCGTCATGAAGTTGAGCCTTGACATGGATATCCTTCGTCGTGAAGTTGAAATCCAAGTATTGTATATTGCGAGTGGACACGATTCCCTTAGTCGTGAAATTGAAACCGTGGATGACCCCTTTATTGTGAAGTTTGGCTTCGAGCTAGATATCTTTCGTAGTGAAGTTGAAATCTACTCTCGAGCAAATTGTGTCGCTTTGAGTCCAATATCCTTCGTTGTGAAGTTGAAATTGACTTTGAATGAAATTGAAAAGTTATTTGTCGACAGACAGTTGCTCCTTCGCTGTGAAGTTGAGCAACCACCATCAATTTCTAAATGTGCTTTGAATCGAGTATCTTTCGTCTTGAAGTTGAAACTTGACTCTAAAGCTGCAAAGATTATGTATGTGAAAAAAATGATGCTCTAAAATGCATGCATAATGAATTAGTTCTTGTTTTATTCATCGGACATAATCTCATTTTTTGTCTGCTGGTTCCTGCACGTGGAGGAAAGGCCATAGGAAGATCTGATAATTCACATCAGGATATTGAATTCCCAAAGATACCTCAATATTCGATGTTGAATCTCAAAAAATGCCCCAACATTTGATGTTAAATCTAAAAAAATGCCCCAACATCTGATGTTGAATCTTCAAAGATGCCCTTATTGTTCCTCATTTCTTGCTTCAGTATTGATTCTAAGCATGAGCTTTGTGTTTGAGAGCCACATGTCATTTACCAAGATCCACTCTAGAGAGATTGTCTTGTTTTGAAAAAAAAATGTTTTTTTTTCTCTTTTATTTTCAAAGTTATGAAAATATCAAAAAGGAGTTGCGAAAAATGTTTAATCAAAAGTTTTGAAAATATTGCCCCTTTCACGGTTTTACAATTGAGACAAATCATAAAATTAGAGTTCATTGGATATCAAAGAATTAATTACATTGTTAATCCTTCAATAAATTATAGCTATTTGACACGTGCCAAGATCAAATCTATTTTTGGG